AACCACAGAATTAAGAAAATCTGAAAGGAGAAGAAGCAGCCAATCTTTTGTACGAATATAAAACTTATGCTTTACACTGCACGCAATCATATACAACGATGTGAAAGCGAATGCGACATCCAACATGATACTTGGTGTTGATTTACACTTAAGCTTTAGAAATATAAAACAGTTGATTTATCATCATATGAACTCACACAATCACAATATAGCAAAAAGTTTCTGCAACTAACCTCAAAGATACCATGCAACTGGTGAGTAGTGTAATTATATAGGAACAAGGGCAACCCTGGTGTTATTGCCCTCACGGAATCTCTGTATCTAGGAGGAAGGCCTGCAAGTAAATGATTGGAGTTGAGCAGAGGGGATAACAATTGGGAAGAACTATTCTCTAGTCATCATCTATTTATCAATGATTTAAACTTTTGTCGATACTAGGCTATGCTGTGATAGGAGTTGAGGATTGGTGATAGCAATTCTGAAGAAGAGCACTCAGAGCTAGTAACAAAGTCAAAATCCATTTTCTTCAATTGTTGGCTAGATGCTCTTTGAGCTTCTATAATAAAATAGCGTAAAACCACTGGTCGTTAACTAAGTAGGTTCAACATGCAGTTTATCCAACCAGTAACACAACATAAAATCCCTGGCTACCGAATACCAAATGCAATATCACACTTGAATAGACAATGCTTAACATGATAGGGAAAAGGTAATTACCAAAGAGCAGGCGCTTTAGGTCTTCCTGCATTGTGTCATTGTTACAAACAAATATATATCCACCAAGAACCTCATTCTTCGGCAGTGTTTCAGCAGCAGGCAGAGTCTTAAACCTTTTGTCAACGGAGTTATTTCCATTTGTGCTCTCAACGTTGTTATTGTTATTCTTGCTAGGTTCCTTGGTATAGTTGCTAGCATTGAACTTGCTTAAAGATGAATTTCCCAAGCTGTTAAAATTGGGCTTAAGATAAACTGGATTTGCATTGAAAATGCTATCCATAATGCGATTCTTGCTCATATTTTCAGTCATCTTGCTTTCCAAATTTAACATATTGAAGTTAAGGCTTTCCCACTTGTTATCTTCCTGAAACATATGATTACCCCTGGGCCTAATTTCAGCAGAGCTCTTTGAAAGGTCAAGGTTATTCCTACGTTCACCTTTGTACTTCATCTGTTCAGATAATTTTATAGCAGCTGTTGACCATTTATGATCCTCTGAGGCTTTTGATTGTCCTCGAAGCTCGTCGCCAAATTGCCAATAGCTCTGCATATTCTCCATGTTGCAGTATCTGAATGCAATTATTTTTAAGCATCATAAATAAGTTCACAACAACTTGTCAATCATGAAAAGTGAGTCAACCATAGCAATTCAATCTATAGGGACATATGATAGAAAAAAAACTACAAAACATAGAACTTTCTAACTCAACTAGCAGCATTAGTTGTACTTGATACAGATTTTTATTTCTTTTTACCCCTTACTAGAGCTCCCACCTTTTTTTGCTCTCTTGCTAACTCGAACCCACAAATTTAGGTTGGAGGTTGGGGGTGCTTATTATCTAAGTAACCCTCTTTTCGATATAGATCAGTTACTCCTCTCAACAATCAACATCAAGGTAATTGCAACCTGAATCATAAATCAGCTAAGTGCATAGAAAAAGTATACCTAGAGATTATGGTTTGTTGGCCATTGACATAAACAAAAGCCTGAAAAAACGTACAAGTATACCGTGCTAATAATATGTGCATTCAAAAGTCAATGAATAACTCATCTTGCTAAATTCACTAAAAGGAAAAGAATAGATCAAAGAAACAAAATGGATATAATCATGGAAAATAACTTAAAAAGAGATTTACAATATCAAACAATCTTGAACCGAAGAATCCGAGATTACGCAAAAATGCAGAAATATAGGCCGAAATTAAAGCTTACGAAAAAAAAAAAGTAGAGAAACCCTATATTTTGGGATTTACCAAATCTATGAATGTAGAACTGTAGAAAGAGTGAGAGTGAATAGAGTAATAATAAATAGATAAGACATACCCCTTTATCACTTCGGCTGCGAAGACCCGGAAGATGCGAGGAGAAGAAGGAAGTACAGATTTTTGGATATTTATGAATCCGATTTCATCTTAAATGCCCTTATCTCTTCAGTTAATTACATAAATGCCATGATTTTTTTTTGAAAAATTGTATGGTGCTCTATAAATTAGTGTGACCGGCATATCCGTTTCAAATTCCTGATGACCAGTCGGCTCGGTGAATTTAGTCACGCGTGACATGCGGTGAAAGTTAGTGCTGTCGGTCGAGTAATGGGCCACTCGAGTTGGACTAGAAAATGAACTACTTTTTAATTAGTTTGAATCTTACGATTATTTTTATCAAATAATCATTTGGACCTCTAATTTCGAATTATAATATGAAATTATGAAATAAAATTACTATGTGTAATTTTTATTAATTTTATATCCATCTTAAGGTTATAATTTAAGATTTTTTAAATATAATAATTGATGCATGAGTTCATATTTTTGTAAAAACGACGTTACATTTATATTTACTATTTATTTTTTCACATGTAAATAAAATTTATAATTCATATCATTGCTTTTTAAATAGTTTACATCTCATAGAATAAATATTTTCACTAATATAGAATTTATTGTTACTTCAAATCAATTCAGTTTTAGTACCATTTATATCCACCAAATTCATTATTTTTTATCAAATATAATTACCAACTAAATTGATCAATAAATGGCTCAGAATAACAATGTTGATTCATCTTTTCAGTCACATGAATGAGAAATACAAGTTCAATGTACGTACTATGCTGGAGTATTGTACCCTACAACTTGTGTTTCTTTTTTATTGCATTAAAGTTAGATCTACAAATGTTATATTTTTAAATGATATTTCTGTGATAATGTATTATACGATTTTATAAATATATACTTATTTGGTAATATTGTATAAAAATTTGAGACAATTTTAATAGTTTTATAACTTCATACGCTTTTATGTTTATGAGAAAACATATATACTACAGAATAAGTTCAAATTTCATGTCGAAACAAAACTTTAACTTTATTTCATATTGTATGACCAAATGGGCCCTTAGTATGTGTATTAAAATATAACAAAATTAAAATTGCTTCATATTTAAGAATTTAAATTTGATATTATTATTGTTAAGTAAAAAAACAAAATTACTTATTTCTTAAATCACAATTGTGCAAATATCTTTTAATTTAATTTATATTTTTTATGAATATTTTGGGATTCCGAAGCCTAAAGTGTATAAAATATTAATAAAAATTCTAACACGATATATAAAACTTTATATTAATCAAAACGGTAAAATCGCTGGAACAACAATGATTTACTCTATCGGAAAAAACAAAATCGCTGCTACTGCAGTGATTTTGCAAAATGTGATTTTTTTAAAAAAAAAATTCAAATCGCTACCATGGCAGCGATTTTTATTTTTTTTAAATAATTTTTTTTGTTTGAATGCCAGCGACTTACATTATTATTTTTTTTTTTTGAAAATCGACTTACATATTTTTTTAAAAAAAATTAAAAATCGTTGCCTAGGCAGCGATTTTCTTTAATTTTTTTAATGTAAATCGCTGCTAGGAAGCGATTTTCAATTTTATTTATTTATTTTTTAAATGTAAGTCGCTGCCAAAGGCAGCGATTTTCAAACAAAAAAAATTTGTTTTCAAAAAAATAATGTAAGTCGCTGCCTTTGGTAGCGTTTTTCAAACAAAAAATTTTGAAAATCGCTGCCTCAAAAAAAAAAATAATCGCTGCCATGGTAGCGATTTATTTTTTTTTAAAAAAAAAACCATATTTTGCAGAATCGCTGCAGTAGCAGCGATTTTACTTTTTCCGGTGAGTAAATCGTTGTTATTCCAGCGATTTTACCGTTTTGGTTAGTATAAAATTTTATATACTATTTTAAAATTTTTGTTAATATTTTATAACCTTTAGACTCTGAACTCAATATCTTGGTTTGCTTTTGATTTTGGAAAGAGAACGAGTGAATTTCTTTTTGTTATACTTCCTTATGATTTTAATCTAGTTTTTGAAAAGATAATGGCCTAAATAATCCGGACATCTTTCTATAATGAATTTTGTAATATTTAAACTGCGTCCATTATTTATCGTATTTAAAATTTAATTTTAATAAATTCAATCAACATACATAATTTACAGGTGTGAATATTTTATTAGTTAGAAACTGTTTGCATTTTGAATTATACTACAATCACATTGATATCTTAGATTTTATTACAGCTTTTGATATAAATATTCATTGCGAATTAGTATTTAAATCTTTTTGAATAATCTTACTAGCTTTATTTGTATTGTATCATATGTATCTATGGAAACATCATTTTGATCGGCATAAAATTGTAAATAGGCTATGGATGATATCTTTGATCTATTTATTTATCTTTAAAATTGTTTTTAAAATATCAGTTAAATATGTATTTAAAATTTAGTAACACGTCAATAATGATAAAATTAGATTCCTAATATTTAATTTCTTACTATCAAGAATAATTGAAATAATAAACAATAGCTCATAAATATTATTTTAAATTAATAAGCAAAATAAGTAGAACTCAAATTTGAAATCTAAAATTTAGTAGCACCTTGTTTGATATTAACAAGAGACTTATATTAACTGATCACAAGTATTTCATTGTCATATTATTCAAAAGTAAAATAACTTTTCATTGTTATTCTGCATTCAATAGATCCTTATTTTAACTTATACAACATGATATTGACGATAGGCAACTTAAATTTTGAATCCTCACTCTAGCAAAAAGATCTTCAAAGGTCAAAAAGTTCAAAATTACTTCACTTTGAAATTTTGATGATGCTATAAATGAGGTCAAAAGTTCAATATCATACTACTACCTCCGGCCATTCTTGTAAATTGTGGCCATTTGTGAATTTTGTCCAGCCTATTTAATCTGGAAGAGGCCCATCTTCGCATGGTGAGGAACAGGCCCAATCTCATCGACACGTCCGCTGGTGTTTTACAAGATAAGCGGACGAGGTCTCATCCGCTTCAAGTTGAAATTTAGAACCCTAGTTATCGCAGTAAGTGCAAAGGAACGTCCGTTTCGATACCGTTCATCATGGATATGCAAAGTGATTTCGACCGACTCCTCTTTTTCGAGCACGCTCGCAAGACTGCCGAAACTACATATGCTACAGATCCTCTTGATGCCGAGGCACATATATTTTTTTTCATTTTCTTCTATTACTCATAGACAACATATGCATTCTCATGCTCTAACTTGTTATTTAATTGATTGTTGTGTGCGTATTGACTAATTAATCGTGACATTTGTTTCTCACTGATTCGTGCAGAATTTGACAAGATGGGCAGGTGCATTACTGGAATTATCACAATTCCAGTCGGTCAGCGAATCAAAGAAAATGATATCTGGTATTTCTTTCTCTTTCTAGTATCTATCAGAGTTATTGGATTGTTAATTTAATTAATTCTTGTCAAGGAATCAGGGCAATGAATGTGAAGTGGTCTCAGTAGTTTTTAGAACCACTAGTATAGCTATTGACCAACTCTATCCTCCAAGTTAGGCGTAGTTAGATTTGAAGGGATCACTTAACTTTTTTTTGCCTTGGTCTCCTATGATATTCATTCTAACTGCATCTACAGTCAACTGACAGGTGACACCACAAGTGTAACATTTTGAATGACCTATTTATTTCAACACTCTCCCAACAATTTACCAAATTTGGGTTCTCGTATAAATTTCCATATGGATTTGCGAGTGTGAGAAATGACCTGGCACTGAGCTTATATGTAAGAATTTAACGGAAAACCTAAGAAAAGGAGCAGAGGGATGAGACATATTAAACACTTTCGATGCCCTTATATGTAACTAACCAAAGGCATGTTTCATAGCATAGTAGGGATGTTGTCTTTCATGGTTAGTAATCAAACAATTTTGTTATATCACTGAAAGACCATATATTATTTTTGTCACGACCGGAATCTAGACCCCAGACGAGACCGGCGTCGTTGACCTCTCAGAGGTCGCAGACAAGCCTACTTACGTCATTCTTACTTTACATAGATTAATTTTAGCGGAAAATTTGGAATTTTTGATTCTTTAATCATACTTGCTGAACATTCTTAACATTTCGTAATCGTTCATCATCAACCATCTAACCTTTAAGAGATAAGCAACTGAAAGAAATAATTCATTAAATATTAATTGTATATCGGCCAAAATAGCACCAATACAAAGTCTGAACCAAAACAGGAAAGAAACGCTAGTGGAACATGCCCCACTAGCTCAACTCTAAAACTACGCTAGAATGTAAAACAGTAGCATCCTCGAAGGCATAAGGACCTACCAAACTCCGGATGAATGCTGACGTCCAGATAGCTGCAACAAAGAACTTGTAGCTCTACCGTACACCTGTGCCTGCACCTAAAAGTAGATGTTTGTATGGAATTAGTACACACTTGTACTAAGTATGGGTATATGCAAGCACACACCAGGGACATGCATGAGAAAGAATAGCTCTTTCCTAACAACATGATTTTTGGAAGTCAAGTCGGTGGACTTGCTAAAATGAGATTAGGAAGGTTATGCCACGAGAGTGACATGCATCATTATAGTTATTGTATGGCACACAACACATAATATCTTCATATAACACATAACATATAGCACATAGTTTCTTTCATATTGTTCATTCATATACCATGAGACCTTACTATCATAGACTTAACCTTAAGACTTCCCAAAATGAGGGCTCAACATATGGGACCTCAACTAGGGAGCCTTCTTCAGCAAACACAGAGCCTGCTTCATTCATTCGTTCGTATTTCATTTCAATTCATTCATAGGCCAGTGCGAACACCAGCTATACCTAGGATGTAGTTTAAGACTTCCATTGGGTTTGCTGTGCAATGATCAGGAATGACCTAATGTCATTACCTAAATCTAGCTCACCTCTTGATTATCCTATCCTAACACCTTCGGTATCATTCATTTCTTTATATGATTCATTTGAGGCTGGCCTCATTCATTCATTGGGAACTTTAACTTTAACCGACATAGATCATGTGAGCATCATGAAATCCAGTGTCTTCCCCACACCGAAAAGAGGTGGAATCACCGGCCAAAGCGATTCAATAACATGCTAGCGTATATGGGAATTTAACCCCGCCAGATCCCTATAGTGGCAATATAGGTTCAAAGACTAGGAGATGTATGGAGACCCATACCCGGCAAGCCGGACAGTCTCATCTCATGAGAGTTACGTGAACCTCCGCCCTTCCCGAAAGAAGGCATCACCGCTCATAGCTAGCCTATCGGTGCTCAGTATAAAGTTCCATTACATCCAACTCATACATCATGGAAGTTGTCTTCTAGTATGAGGGCATCATAGCTCAATAGATGATTTCTCATCTCATTATTAGTATTAAGTGTTTTAAACTCAATATTTTTCATTAAAGTATTTATAGAGACTGGTCTCTTCATTATCTTACACCCTCATTGATGAATACGTATTGGTAACATTTACTTAGGCTCGTTTGAGATTGCTCTCTCCATATACATTAGCCTCACATCATGATTGTCACCACATTCTTCATTTCATTACGTACATCTTAGGTTCACTTATTTTTTTGAACGTATGTTAAACTTGTGTGTCTATACATACAAGCCATGGGGCTTCGTTTATAGTTCGTTAAGTGATTCTTATTTTCCTAAGATTATGTATTACAAGACTTATGTATCTTGTATATATACCAAGATCTTGATTTTTGATCAAAGTAGATTACATTATTCTTGAATATTTTACTCACGTATGACTTATGTATCAATACGGAGGTTTGGGCACGAGAACCCAAATTTTGAATTATTTGGATATCATTTATATTTTTCATTGATTTTTGTTCTAATATTCATAAATTTAGAACTCTAAGTTAAGTCTCAACATTTTCGTGAAATAATAAATTGTTTTATTTTAATTAGAATTCTAAATTAAATTTCAATCATTTAGATGAAAGAATAATTTTCTAATTTAATTAGAATTCCAATTTAAATCTCAATATTTACATAAAAGAATTAATATTCTATTTTTAATTAAAATTCTAAATTAAATCTCAATATTTACATAAGAGAATTAATTTTTTTAACTTTAATTAGAATTTTAATTTATTATTATTATTATTTTTAATTACATTCGCTTGAATAGGGAGGTTGTGGGTTCGAACCCCCACAGCCCCCTTTATTTTTCTCTTATTTTCGCTGGAAATGGAGGCTGTGAGGTGGTGGGTTCGAACCCCCACAGCCTCACCTTTATTTCCTTAATATTTGTACCCCTCCCTTCAACTCTGAGGTCGTGGGTTCGATCCCCACGCCTCACATCCCTTTTTATTCCTTTTTTTTTTTTCGCGAACTGGGGGTCGTGGGTTCGATCCCCGCCCCCAGCATTCCCTTTTAAATCTTTTTTTTTTTTTTTTTTTTGCGCGTGGCTGGGGTCGCGAGTTCGATCCCTGCCAGCCCCATTTTTTTTTTTTAATTAAGGCATGCTGCAGGGAGGTCCTGGGTTCGATCCCTGCAGGCCTCAAAACTTTTTTTTTTAATTCTTTTGATGTTCAAAAAATTTCCAGATTCTTTTAAAGTCTGTTTTCAAGTTCTGGAAATTTATTCTACGATTTTTCTTCACTTTTTCATCAAGTTTAACATTAATTCTTAGGGAAATTTCATGGTTCATTCATAATGTTTTAATTACACATTATATTTTTTTTTTTATAGATTCGTCTAACCAAGAATTACTCCCTCAATCAAGCCACCTAACATTTCATATGAACTTCACGTCTTACCCCATTTTATTCACGAAAAATATACAATCATATTACATTAAACTTTTGGAGCATTACATAAAGAACCTCATTCACTGTAACATACTTACACATAATTTCAAGAAAAACATGGTTGCCTTTCATACGATTCCAAGTACACAAACATAATCATATTCATCGCGAAAACATAATATACACCTAAATCTACCAGCAATCATACCCAACCTAAAATTCATTGGGAGCTAGTGACAGGGGCATGCAACGGGAAACAGCCTTAGTTTCGAGATGAATAACTTGAATCGTAAGGGGCCTCTTGGGAAAGGAGCCAAGAGAGAAGAAACCCATACCTTAATCGATGTTCAAACTTTAATGTTGCTGCCCGGAAAACTCCTCCAAACCACTCCCAATTCACTTCAACGCACACCTCTCTCGACGAACCTCTCTTAGCCTTGACGTTTTGATTACTTATTTTCTTTTACTTGAAAATTTTTTGTGAGTTTTTCAAGCATGAAAACTGTTGATATTTTTGGCAGAAATAATGTGATGAAGATGGAGAACGTGAGAAAGAGAGTTAAGGAGCGTGAGAGAGAGAGGACTATTTGGATTAGGAGACTAATTCAAAAATCAGTCAAATAATAAATAAATACAAATCTGTTTTTGATTTATTTATTTATTTATTCATTTAAAACGTGAAAGGACAATTACGCCCTTTAAATACTTATTTATTCTTATTTATATAAAAAATTTTTTTTGAATCGTTACAATTTTTGAACTGGCATGTATTACAGATGTTAAAGTTCCGCACTAATAGCTTTAAGACCATACTATTAAGGCATACTCATTTTGTAGAAGGAAATGTTTGAAGGGTGGGTTGAAATCCTGGGCCTTTTTTTTGTAATAAGTTGATGGAACTGAAGATAGTGATAGTATTATCTGTTCTTGTCTTCTAATTGGGAAATATACACTCTCTAGATGCTATCTCAAAGTTAGAAGAGGCTTTGGAGGTTAATCCACAGAAGCATGACGCCATTTGGTGTTTGGGGAATGCATATACATCCCATGGCTTTCTAAATCCCGACGAAGATGAAGCAAAGATTTTTTTCGACAAAGCAGCCCAGTGCTTCCAGCAGGCTGTTGATGCGGTATATTTTTTCTCTATGCTCATTTTGATATTTTTAACGCAGTTTTGGGGCTTACTTTCAACGCTTTGTTTTTGTTAACTGTAGGATCCAGAAAACGAGCTTTATCAGAAATCATTTGAAGTTTCTTCTAAGGTAAAGTTAGTGTTGTTTTTTAGTTGGCCTTTAGTATGTTTAGTGTGTTGAATTCTTGTCACATGTTTAAGTCTTCCCTGGAAGAAGTGCCTTCACAAGTGATTTCCATGTATACTTTGAGGAGCTTTCCTCTTTTTTGTTGATTGTTTGGCACAGTATGCCTTCAATTTTCCTATTATTTTCCTTCACAATAAATAATTTCATCTATCAAAGGAAGTTCTATGTATATATGATTCACCACATGATTGCTCAAAATGTAGTGTTTTGAGGCTTTTCTCTTCCAATCAGCTAACAACACATAATTCATTCTGCTCAGAGTAACATGTTGTATTCTTAATGAAGCATATCCTAATTTTAGATGTTAGCTAGGCCGTAGGCTCACATAATATTAGCAGAAAACATCAAACTAATCGATGCACGTTGAAGAGAAATCTATGAAGTTGGTCTTTCAATGTTATCTTTTTTAAAAAGTCCTTGGCCTAGTTTGGATTTGCCATTTCATCCTATGCAGTGCACATTACTTGACCAATTCATTGAACTCTGGTACGTCGTGCAGTTACATCATACTGATTAGGCATGCTAAATTGTCTGCCCTAAGTATCTTATAAAGAGAAATATCCACCTTAAGTATGATTTAGCTACTACGCATTGTCTTCACATTCAGTAGATACTTTTTTAACCAATGAATTATGATTTGTATACTTTTTTAACCAATGAGTTTGAGTATCAGAACGTTTGTTCTTTTCTTCTCTATTTTTACATTCTGTAAGATTCTTCAGATAGTTCATATGTTCATATTTCTTAGGTGGCGAAGGATTGAAAGAAGTTTGATCTGAGATTTCATTGCATCCTTTTGTGGAATAATGACGTGTTGGATGTTTATTGATATAATTTATATGTTTGTAAATGTCCTTCTAGGTGATTCATACTGCTCTTGGGATTTTGTTTATCATTTATGAGAACCAATTGTCCTTATTAATTATTTTATTATGTATGTATGTCATTTCTGTTTGTTACTTATGTTGTACATTATTTTAGACTTCAGAGTTGCATGCCCAGATTCACAAACAAGGTCCCCTTCAACAAGCCATGGGACCAGGACCATCTACAACAACATCAAGTACAAAGGTATTATACATTTTAATTCCCCCCACCCTGATATATATTTCTATTGATTCATGCTACTTAGTTTGTTTTTTGTAAATCTTACTCTTTTCATTTTCTCTGCGGTGCGGTTGTTTTACAAAGTGCATACTGAGTGCACTACACAATTCCATCTGTGGCCTACAAAATTAAAAACTTTATGCACCCAAGGATGTTAATTTAATGGTCAATGAAGTGGGTTGAGAACCATGAGGTCTCGGGGACAAACGCTTGAGTGAATTTCTTCACATCTGTCCAACCTTGGTGGACAAGCATGGATGGATAGAGTCACCCCTGTTGTTGATGGGAGGTGACATGTATCCCATGAAATTAGTCAGGTGCCTGCAACCTGGCAAGGACACCACTTTTTTTTTAAAAAAAAAATTAAATACGTTGTGTGGAAATTGCCTTCAACATAGTTTGGTGGTAATGTTTCTTTTTTTTTTTTGATTGTTCACATTTTTTTCCATTCTTGTTCTGTTCCTTTGAAGTAACAAAATTCCAAAAGGAAGTTTTTTCCATTCTTGTTCTGTTCCTTTGAAGTAATGAAATTCCAAAATCAAGTGGGCTGGTTTCATTGAACCAAGTTTCACAGAGTCGGAGGACTTGCTTAACCTTTCATTCTTTGTTTGCTCATGCATTCAGGGTGCGAAGAAGAAGAGCAGTGATCTGAAGTATGACGTTTTTGGATGGGTAATACTTGCTGTTGGACTTGTTGCATGGATTGGCTTTGCGAAATCTAATATGCCGCCACCTGCACATCCTCTTCCAAGATAAGGGCCAAAATACAATCTTCTAGGCCAAAATACATGATGTAATTTTTTCCTGCATAAAAATGGCTTTTGGCGATTCAAGCTTTTGCCATATAGATAGGATTTACTGATGTAACATAGTTTGAATTAAGACACTCTTTTGTCCTTTGATTGATACTAGTCATAAAACGATTTTATGAAGCTGTTTTAGAATATGGTGTCTGCTCTCCTAGTTAACTTCTGGCATTTTCGCCCCTCCCTCTTTTACCGGTCATTAATTGGTGGTTGTGACACATCTATGATCTGTTTGGCTTATCAAATTCAGAAATAATTTTGCAGTTAACTTGTGGATGTTTGCCAAGATTGATTAGGTGGGATATGATCTATTGTACTATTTTCCATTTTTCTGATTCAGGATTAAGCCAGATTGAATTGGTTTTAAGTACTGTGCATGTTCGGTAACGAAGACATGAAATTCAATTAAGTTCGGACCAAGTTAGTCAGGCCAAAAAGCGATTCCATTTCCTTCATCTCATTTTGAGTGGATCTTTTTGTTCACCTAAGGAATATTATTTTTTATTCCGATATTGAACTAAATCATGTGGCATATGTGTGGTTGATTTTTCTGATAGTTTATTCATGTGAACGGGATTGTGACTATTCTAAAATGACCACATTAGTTTGTTTTACATATTTTAAGCTCAAATAAAAAGTACTCCCAATAAAACCATTTGTGGAATCCAAATTTCGTTTTTAGGGAAACGGCGTCGTGAAATGAATTTCTTAAGTTGCCCAGCAAACTAACCAACCCACTTTCTCCAGTCTTCTGTCAAGATGATTGTAGGTGTGGAAGAGATGTCATTGGAAGCTAAAGCATTGGGACACTCTGGAATTGCCGGAGCAGTGCCTCTCTCATTCCGTCGCTCTTTTTCTTCATTCCCCACTCGTTTGTCGTTCCACACTGCCGTTCCTCCCCAAACCCGCCGATTCCAATCCTTGGCGGTTATTAAGAGAAGTCCTAAACGCCTCAAATACTCGGCTCCTCGCTTAACTAAGGTTTGAATCTCTCAATTTTAATATGCCCTGTTCCTTGCTTATAGTTAGCAAGTACTCCAACTACGCATGACTTATTACTATTCTCTTTCTTATGTACTAATACTCGAAACGTGGTAGGAAGATGGATTGCTCTATGTTCAAGTTGATCAATTTGGCTCGGATTCTTGGAAGTTGGATCCAGTTGTTGAACTTCTTAAAGGAGGAGCTGTTGGAGTCATTCCCACTGACACTCTGTATGTTTTATTTCTCTTCTTTTTTTATCAATTAGTTTGTGTTTATACCTGAACGGCTTCTCTTGATGGTTAATTATACTTATTACTCTATCCATATTAACAATTTTGGTTCAACTTCTGATTGAGTCATGTAAAAATGAAAATGCTAATATAACCTTCCATGTATCTCCAAGTTTATTTTCTGTTCTACTATTCAATCATTTCGGTATTACTTGATACTAGGACTTGCATATCAATATCTTGTGTTAGGACTTACTCCCTTTTTTCCTTCATACCTCCATTAGTCAAACTAGGTAATCATATTTTACCTTTTCATTCCTTTCCTCAACAATAAAGCCTGAATTTTAGGCTTTTAAATATTATAGACTTTAAGCATCAAACCTACTTCACTTAATGGATTTAAGCTTCGCTGGAAGTGTTGCAACATGGTCATCCGATAATGCAATGTTGTTTTGAGATTAGATAGAGTGAGGTTGACTTTAGTCCGCTAGGGAATATGAGTGATCATCATTTTTTCAATCAGATGGATAGTAAAATGGACATACTGCTGGAAGCCATTCCCAAACAGTGACATTTGGATGATAATCATCACGTTCCAATCACTGCAAGTATAAAGCATCTTAATTCTTTGCAATATGAAGTTGTGTTATATAAAAATGAATTGGAGGAGTATCAATTTGGTTAAGAAGTGTACTTTAAGCCTCGATCAGAATCTTTTATAGCCTGAATTCTGATATTTGACATCTTTCAAACAGGTATGCAATAGTTTGTGATCTGAGCAGTCATTCAGCCATTGAACGTCTTCGTAGGTTAGTTCTACTAAACCTCTCTGGTAGCGTAAATTAATGCTTTACATTTCTTTCTCGGGTCCCTTGATGACAATGTCCATTTCTTTTTTGTTTGTTCTTTTGGCCAGAATAAAAGAGATAGAACCTTCAAAGGCAAGTTGCATTTATGTTGCTGAACTGAACCATTGCATCAGATAAAGCAACCCAGTTGATGCTGGATCTGATTCAATGCCTTTATTTTTTGTTTCCTTCCCTGCCTATGTACCTCCATATTTGTCACTTGTACTGTCCTTTATGCTGTCTTCTTTACGATCTTCTACGATTTTACAGCCCCTAAGTATCATTTGTCGATCTTTCCGCGACATAGATACATATACAACTGGATTTCCCCGTGGTAATGCCCAAGGTCTTACAGACATTTTTCGAGCAGTCAAGCACTGTCTACCTGGTCCTGTAAGTATGTGTAACGTGTTCTATAGACGATTATTGTGCTGAAAATTGTTAACAAATTTTCCGATTTAGATTTTTAATAAATCTGGTATACGTATGTCGGGAGTGTAGGAAGTCTAGTGATACCCTAGAGTCGAATTTCTTCATCAGGTTTTGCGCTATGTGGTATGATAGTTTCTTTTGCTACTTAAATTCCTTGTTGGTTGTCGACTTACTTCATGCTTATTTTTTCCTTTATTCTTTACGTGCGGGGTGGGTGGGTGGGGTGGGGGTGCATGAGGTGACTTTAAGATTGTTTGACTCATTAAATCTTTGACATTTTGGGTACCCAGGTCTGAGTAGTCCTGTAGATATCTTGATACTGATAATGTACCTAAACTATTAATCACCTGTGTGGCAGTACACTTTCATCTTAACTGCTAGCAAACAGCTACCAAAACAATGCACGAGATACGGGTCTGCAACTTCCAAATATGCTTCAAGGAAAAATGTTGGTGTTCGTATACCTGATGATCCTGTCTGTCAAGCAATTCTAGAAAAGTTGGATAGACCTCTAATATCCACAAGGTATTCTGACATCCTAGCATAGGGAAAATGAGTAAACTGATTCTTCCACAGTTTTACTTCTGTTTTGGGCTTACATACCTAATGATAGTTTTTGCTTTGGTTCAGCGTCAAGTCACCAAAGGAGGATGAGTGGATACTGGATCCCGTCATTATTGCTGATGTATATGGTCCAGAGGTACTATTCCACTAAAGGTTTGGCTGCTTTAGAGATCTTTTGGCACTTGCAATTTGCAAGCAACTCCATCCCCTTGTTTTTTGCATTTAGAGATCAACAAATTTTTGTAATTTTCTTTGTGTTATATGTCTCTTACATATGGATCTCTTATTGCTGCAACTCGTAAATTGGATATGCTTAATTCTTTTAATTCAGCTCCATTTCTTGTACATGTTTTTCTTTTGTCTCAGATCTATATGTGTATATTTGGTGTCCTACATGTTTTGCTTGGTCAGTGCCCTGTCCTATTATGGTGGATTGAATTTCTCTCTCTTTTCTTCTTTGGTTATGTTAGGGACTTGATTTTGTTGTTGATGCGGGTGTTCGAGTGGCTGATCCGTCTACTGTAGTTGATATGACTGAAAGTGCTCCTAGAATTATACGGCAGGGAAAGGTAAATCAGTAGTGTGTTTTTGGGACCTAATGTCTAGCATTCTGTTTGCCTACATGATTGCATATGTTTTAAATTAGTGAAAGCGGGCTAACAATTTTCTATGTATTCGGTATTCCAATTAGGTAAGTATGGTGACTGATAGCTGATTCAGAGTGCATACGCATAATATCCAATGAATTATGTGTCAAATTAGAGTCTAATACACATAGCCTGATAGCTCTTTATAATGAAAAAATCCTTGCTGCCTCTTATAGCTGCATAAGCACCTTCATCAGCGACAATTGCACTCGGGTTGGTTTTCTGTATTGTATAAGAGTCTGGCAGTACGTAAAAACTGTAATTTAGACAAAAGTTGCCAAAGAGATGACAATAGAAGAATGCTGCTGACTTTTGCTGTACATGATTTTGTTTCCCAGATGCAGAGACTTGCTTAAGCAACCACATCAAAATTTTCAAAGTAAATTAAATACTAAACTGGTATGTGTGGTGAAGAAATAATTAAACTGGATTGTAGAAGAGCGTCCCAATACCTGAGATACATCATGTTGAAAGGAGAAAACTGCTTAAGTATGTACCAGCAAGCATTAGTACTGAGTTGCTGTGTCAGAAGGATGCAAGGTTCATGAAACGGTTAAAATGCAGTTAGGAAACATATCATATAGACGCAATTGCGACAAGCTTAAGTGGAGATTCCAGATACCAGTTTATGCATTGTAGGAGAAATAACATGACTGGAAATTTATGGCATATTGCTCTTTAAAAAGGGATTTGCTTAAAAATAATGATCAGAAAATAGAACATGGCCGACTGGTTTCTGTCTTTGATCCATTTTTGTATTTATAATAAATCTATGATTGATTTGTTTACTGGTAAGGTGAATAAGTTAATAACCATGGATCAACTTTTTCTCTCTTCTCTCCTGTCAATTCTCTGAATTAGAATGTCTGCATTTATATGATGATCCTCTTTTGTTTTGCTTGTTTACATTTGTTCAGGGTCCTAAGCAGCCTTGGATGATAGCGGAAGATGATGATTCTCCTGTAGATGAATAGAATCCGTTGTTGCCGCTGTTTAAGTAAGAAGTACTGCTTAAAATGTACACTTCCTCAAGCCAGAGCTCTTGTACAGCGCACAGATAAGATGGTGAATCCCTCGCTTGATCTTGAACAGTCTTTTAGTCTTCATTAGTGTAGATTGCTGTAAATACTTAACGTGGTAAATCAAGAATCACATGTAATATTTTGCTTGTGTAAACTTTAAAGCATGTTATGATCACTCTCTCTTATTCTTGCCCTATGGTAATTTCTATTGCGTTTCTCCTGCAAGCTCCTTCATGAAAACCGTGGAAGCCTTGTCCTGCCAGAGCGCCATGCCTCTATTTTCTTTCTCGTCCGTAGTGAAGAGAGAAGTCTCTGATCAATTGGTTTCAATTATTTTAACTCTTCCTGATCAATTCAAAGGTTGAAATAACTCATGTTTGATGTTTTCTAACAATCAAGTTGGTTGTGATTAAAGGAATTAATTTAATATTTTCCTAAAGTAATTCTTACAGGTAACAGTAATATACTGTCTTCTTTTTCCTACTTTGGGCACTACTCCTGTATATTTCAAGTGGAGAAGGAAGCTTGATTGGTTTATATGTTGTATATATAATAGAATAATCTTTTATCCGTTTGAGTAACGAAACACATAGCTGATAAATGACGGCCAATAGTTACAATTAAACTGTAATATAACAATTGAGATACAAATAGACTTGAAATGGCTTTTTTTTTCAGAAGTATTTGAAGATTTTTCTTTTCAATCAAACCCCAGAAATAGAATTACTTCTGTTTGGTCAAATGAATTGCATCAAAATTTAGCGCACGAAATGCAAATGCGTACGGTGCACGCTTTGGAGAAATGTAAAAGTGAAATATTTAATAATGGCGGCAAAATTTGAAAGTCGAAATTTTGTGGTTTAGTCCCCCAGCCAATTGGATTATATTCATTCTCCCGCAAGCTTCTCCTAAAAAATTCAAATACCGCGCTTACTGCTTTTAATTCAAACCTAACACCTTTTGCCTTTGCCGTCTTTAAATATCTTCACATTCCCCATCATTTTTCTCAAGCAGCCATCTCTTCTCACTAAACCCTAGAATTTCTTATCCAAAACAAAATATGCCTCTTATCCCAGAAGAGCCTTTGCTCGCCTCTAACCCAGATCGATTCTGTATGTTCCCAATTCAGTATCCACAGATTTGGGAAATGTACAAGAAAGCCATGGCATCTTTCTGGACGGCAGAAGAAGTCGATCTCTCCACCGATACTCGTCACTGGGAAAACCTAACATCCGGTGAAAGGCATTTCATCACTCATGTTCTTGCCTTTTTTGCCGCCTCAGACGGCATCGTTTTAGAGAACCTCGCTGGAAGGTTCATGAAAGATGTCCAGGTTGCCGAGGCTCGTGCTTTCTATGGGTTCCAAATCGCCATTGAGAATATCCATTCCGAGATGTACAGTTTGCTGTTGGAGTCGTACATCAAGGATTCTGACGAAAAGAGCAAATTGTTCCGTGCAATTGAGACAATCCCTTGTGTTGAAAAGAAGGCGAAATGGGCCCTTCGTTGGATCGATGGGTCCGAAACTTTCGCGGAGCGTTTGGTGGCTTTTGCTTGTGTTGAAGGGATTTTCTTCAGCGGAAGCTTCTGTTCGATATTTTGGTTGAAAAAACGGGGGTTAATGCCTGGATTAACCTTCTCAAATGAGTTAATTTCAAGAGACGAAGGTTTGCACTGTGATTTTGCGTGTTTGCTTTACAGTTTGCTAAGGACGAAGCTAACTGAGGAGCGAGTCAGGGGAATTGTTGCAGATGCTGTGGAGATAGAAAGGGAGTTCGTGTGTGATGCTCTTCCTTGTGCTCTGGTGGGAATGAATGGAGATTTGATGAGTAAATACATAGAGTTTGTAGCTGACAGATTGTTGGATGCTTTGGGTTATGACAAGATGTACAATGCTCAGAATCCATTCGATTGGATGGAGCTGATTAGTTTACAAGGGAAGACTAATTTCTTTGAGAAGAGAGTTGGGGAGTATCAGAAAGCCTCAGTTATGTCCAGTTTGAATGGTAATGGTGATACCCATGAATTCAAGCTGGATGAGGACTTTTAAATTTAGTACTCTAGCTCCTTTTTTGTATTTTTTGAAATTAGTTTTATGTTCTTCTTTTAAGGTTCCGTTATATAAGTACTTAATAATATATATCAGTAGAAGTATTGTAATAATTAGTTATGATATTTGTTCATTGTCCCAGTATGAAATGTGCTTTTACAGCACTTCCACCAACTTTTTTATTTCTTTGGATGTTAAATTTTTCTGAATTGATATGTTGAAACCGACCCATTTCCTATTAACTGAATTTCAGATTTAATATTCCAGGAACAAACCCACCAATCAATCAATCAAGTTCATTTTGTTCCAGCACACCAAGTAACAAATCTACCTAGAAAATTGGGTTTGCTAAATTCTGAGGTGAATGATTGGGCTCATGTTACCCAATGTTCCCTGAAATATTTTCATGAAACAGTCTAATGTTGAATCTTTTCACTAAATGGGGTATAATTTATGCCCCATCCATGGGTCATTGGGCACTTTGACTGTGCAACACGAATTCATCAAATTCAAATTGAAATGCTAATGCTGCACCCATTGGCAGGAGTGCATATATTTTCACGAGAAACTTAAATGAGATATAACCAACTAATTGGATTGATATCTGCTAATTGCTTTAGTATGAAAACCACAATCTTTTCTATAATTCATTAACAAGAAAAATTAGACATGTTTGGGCATGATAGGAGAAAAACTTAGTTCTCTTAATTGCAGCCACCAGAGGTGTGACAACCTTTGACAAGACATCCAAAAAAATTTGAGCATGCCATAAAGAGCAGTGGTTTAACACGTTGGAACCATCACCACATTGTGTTGTAGCCAATCAGCTTCAGATCATATCTTTCTTAACATGAGCCTGACATTTTCAGATGCTTCAAGATTCCATTGGCATGCCACTAGTTTTTTGTTCCACCGGTTGAGGTGACTGGTCCTCTCTGCCGATTAACTGCACGAGGCACAAATGACAATCCACGAGCCCTACTGCGGCCAAAGCTGATTGCTGAAGGAGAATCCGAAGTGGTTAATTTCGATACCGCTGAAACGAGATTGTCTATTGTTTCTTCCTCAACTTGCATTGCACTTGACTTCTCCTGAGTCTTATTAGATGCTTGTTTATGATGCGGCTTCAGCCTCTGTTTTTTTGATGGACGAGCTTTTCTGAAGAACTCATAAGATGCTGGAAATTTATGCTTGTCAACAAGATGTTGCTGCCTGCTTTTGTAGCTTTTCAACTTGATATCACAGCCTTCCACAAGGCACTCATACTACAGGACAACAAGAATTCCAGTAAACAGCTACATCCAGACATTTTAAAAAAAGATTGAAACAGACTGTTACTCATACATAACTCTCTTTGAACAGACTAAACACATACAAGATACATGACCAACCACAATCAGAGAGCCAATTCTGCAACAAAGATTCATGCAGCTTATAATTTATTTATGTATTTACAATTTTACAGAAGCTTTAAAAGTATTTTATTTTAGAACACCTATCCTGTTGGTTTTGTTCTGTTTATCAGACTTGACACTTGACCTAGTGGTCAGAAGTTAACTCCTCAACCAGTAAACCACTAAGATCAAGAAAGCCGATAACATGCAGCTTATAAACTTGGAAAGACATGCAAACATCTATCTCCTTGGGAAGGGACAGGGCAAGATGATGCAAATTCAGGATGGGTTATGTATAACCCCCACATTAACCCAGACGATGCACCTAAACTGTTCACGTATGTGCCTGCACAATCCCTTCAGCTATTACCTTAACAAACAGGAACTGCATGCTACATTTAGAATATGCATGAGAAGGAAGAAAGTTGAATCAACAAAAAGGCATGATTCACCAACTGAAAATCTGTTTGTTGAATCATCCAATTCATGCTCACTCTTAAAAAGTCATTCGCAATATAAATAGAGAATCAACAAGAACTGTCATTTACCAGAGAACTCTTCTTTCAATAATAAATCAATTCCTTACCTCAAAATGATTTCGGAAATAGACAATGGCTGGAGAATTCAGACTATACTTTACTTTGAAATAGAGAGAAGAAAAAAATTATACCAGATTTAAAGTCGGTACAGTCTTAATTCTCCAGCCATTGTTTGTTTTAGAAATCTCTTTTTAGTGCAAGGATTGATTTATTACCGAAAGAAGTGTTTTCTAGAAAATGACAGTTCTTCATGATTATCTATTTATAGCATGGATAGTCCATTTTTTAGAGCGAGCGCGAATTGGATGATACAACAAACAATTCATCAGTTGTTTAATCGTGTGATTTTGCTGATTCAACTTTCTTCCTTCTCAGATATATTCCTAATACGTTTAAACAGTGTAAGGGGGTTTGCCTCATTTTCTATGGGACACCCTAAAGAAAACTATGAGATAAAATGTTACCATGGGAAAGCCTCGAGCAGCTTTTGCCTGAAAAAAGGAATCATGAGCCTCTGACACATGTATGCTGAGCAGGCGTGATGTTGGGTAAACTCGAGAGCATACAGAACAAGATGCAGTATGTCGTGTAACATAGTGGTCTTCAAAGTCATCCAGATTTTTCATCTGTGCACCACAACCAATGATTGGACAGAAGAGATTGCTGTCAAGCATTTAATCAATTTTATCAGAAATTAGTTATGTATAAATACATCCCCCTAAAATTTGTTATAGTAAACAAACCCAGAAATCACCTCAAGATTGACAGAAAAATAACAAGTTAAGAACATGACATCCATTTAAAAAAAAAAAAAACAAGTTAAACAATACATAATTAGGATCTTGATAATTTACAGTAATAAAGAAGAAAAATGGACCTCAGCACCAGTAAATGCAGGTGCAAATGAGCACTATAGCATATTGTGGCTAGGCCAAGAAGATCTGAGAAAGTGATACAGTGATTGTATCACATAGTAAACACAAAACTAGGTCATTATTCAATCTATGCAAAACTTCCTGCAGATCAATATTCTGACTAGTACCAGAAAGTGGAAACCGATATATGGTAAAGTTAGCCTCTAGTTTCTTCTTTATTATCTCAGCTCCTGTAAATATCTAGACATAAAGATACAATTTAATCCAGCCCTTAACTTCTGCGTTCTCGATTTTGGGCTGACCACAGAACTGAAAAAAAAGAGGTAGCCGTTGCCCGCTTTCCTAAGCTTATTTTTATTAGAAAATTCATCAGTATACTGACATTAAGCACTCTTTTGGGGAATTTTTCTTCCCTTTCAGTTCTGTCACCATCTTCCTTTTGCTTGTGCACCTAACCTTCCTTGTGCGGATGCAGCTCTCAACTTATCTGTATACCAAGAAGTGTTTAATACCCTTCGCTTGAGTATGTAAGGGTGTTTGATAAAAAGCCAACAACATTCAACTATAAAGAAATGCCCAGTATTAAACTCGTCACTGCAGCAACCTTCGCAGGTTACTGCATTAAAAAGCATGTAAAGACAGCTGACATCATGAAGATATTAGTATCTAAGGATCAACATCTCACGATTCTCACCTATTCTTAATCTATAATCAAGGCTCTGATCTTTCACTCGACTTTGCAACACAAAAAACAGCAAAACATATTTAATTAGAATTTTGCAACCACGTCCTAACGTATATCCTAACTATTCCAACTTCTCTTTTGTACTTGAGGCTACTAGCAGACACATAGATAAGTGCATATTTCCTCAATCTCAACAAAAAGGGAAGAGCAGCTGATTAAGAACGTGAACCTGAATTCTGTTAAAATATCCTTCAAAATTATAGTTTAATGTCACTGTCTTCTGATGTTTCTCAGTATATAAATCCGATAAACTATGGAAGAGCTTCAATAGGTATACCTGATTTCGTCATCTGTGATACTATTTTGAACTAACTGGTTCTCTTCTTCAGTCAAATCCAATGCAACCTGGAAATGAAGAAAAAGGGAGTGAACAGATAGATCGCTAGTTCAAATTATGGAGAGGATAGAGAGGAGGGAAAAGGAACGAACCTGCTTAGCGAGAAGCTCTCTTTGAATGTTACCGTAAGCGAAGAAGGGATCATCAGGACCAAAACGTCGACGAGTTGGGCTCCAGAACGGAAACCCTAATTCGATTTGCCTATCAAACTCCATCGCCATTAATTTTGAATTTCATTCCCTACCTATGCTTTTGCCGTTTTGCGACGTTTTTTCCTTTCTCGAAAGTCCTAAAATTTAAAAAATAAAAAATAATGTAAAGTTGATTTTGCAAAGTATGTGATCTTTTGTTATGTCCCTTCTCTTCATTTTTTTCTCCGTTTGGACTGGGATATTAATTCACGTATAGGGGATCCTGTCTAAACCCATATACAATAAGCAAAATAATTGTTCCATTACGCTATGTTTGGATTATTATTATTTATTATATTATATTATTATTATGTCATAATATTTATTTTAATTGCTATTTAAAATATATTATATTATATTGTTAAATTTAATTGTTATCTAACAATAAAAATTTTTATTTTATGGAATAACCAATTTGGTGTGTTCCCATTGTTATTTAATTTCTTTTTTCAATTATATTTTTATATAATATTTCAAATTATAATTTTATCATTTACCTTAATTTTTTAAATCTAGTCAAATAATAAAGAATATTTTAGTAAATTTACAAATTACAATAGAGTATAATATGATCAAACCAAACAATTAAAATGTTATTAAATAACAAACAATACAGTCTGCCCAAATATTATATCTACCATATAAAATAGTACAATACATTGTGAAATAATGAGTAACAATAATACAAATAAAGTGTTAATATTATGGACACTAATTTGACAGCCTGATACACGTAATAAAAGGAAATCTAAGTTATATCTATAAATAGAGTTGCTGGATAAGGGGAAATATAATTGGCAAGTGAAATTGCAAGAAGATGCAACTAATCAACATTTTTCCACTCTAACAAGCCATTGATAATCATATATAGCGCCTAACAAGTTTTTACATTATTAACACAATTTAATTTCATTTTGTTTTTTCAAGTTTGAGTTAAAATTTGCGTGATAATATATCGTCAATGTGTATAGCATGACAAAGTACACAACGAAGGTGCATGGCAGCTGGGTTCTCAAGATTTTGTCAATCGATACAAACAACCCCATATATTTTTTAATATTATATGAGTTGCTATGGCGAAGGGAGGATAAATT